TTGGCAGTCTCAGAGAGAGGATGAGAGAGTAGAGAGGAGAGTTTCTGCAGCAGAGTTGGAGTCAGGAGTTGGAACGAGTCAGAGGAAGGGAGGCTGAGAGCACCGATGAGGCAAAGGTAGAGGGGGAGAGGGGAACGAAGGTTACGGCGGACAGGTGCAGAATTAGAAGGGATTAGTTTGTTATGTTTGGAAAGGGGTAGAGAGAATGAAATGAAGAAGTGATCGGATGTGTGGAGCGGGTTTACAGAGAGGTTAGACGTAGTGCAGTTCCTTGAGAATATGAGATCAAGGACATTGCCAGCTTTATGAGTTGGTGGGGATGGAGACAGTGAGAAAGCAGAGGCGGTTAAAAGACATGTTAGTTCAGCTATCTTCCCTGTCTGGAGGTTGAAGTCTCAGAGAAGTACAGCGGGAGGGCCAGTTTCAGGGATGTGTGAGAGGAGATTATCTAATTCCTCCAAGAAGTCCCCCAAGGCGCCTGGTGGACGGTAGAGAACAAAAATGTTTAATTGTATAGGATGGGTTATTGTGACGGCATGGAATTCAAAGGTGGAAGGAGTGAAGTTAGGTAGCTTGAAGAGGGAAAAGCTCCATTTGGGAGAGAGCAGGAGACCAGTGCCACCTCCTCTGCCAGTAGGTCTGGGTGTGTGGGTGAAGGAATATGCTGTGGAGAGAGATGCTGGAGTGGATGTGTTGGATGGAGTAATCCAGGTCTCAGTGAGAGCAAGGAAATCCAGAGACTGCAGGGAAGCGTAGCCAGAGATGAAGTCAGCCTTAAGAACAGCTGACTGGCAGTTCCACAGGCCCCCTGAAACTAGATGTTGGATCTCAGTGGAGCATCTGGGATAGACAAGAGCAGGCTGGTTACAACTATTACGAGATGCACGGGGCCAGTAATAATTGCGAGAAGACACATGACCAGGAAAGGAGAATTTACACATGTTTTTAGCAAGAGTGGATGAAAACACCAGAGATACTTAGCTCATTTAAAGTAGGATTTACCTCCTCTTTGCCTCCCTCGTGACTCCAACAGGACTCTATTGTCTTTGTCAGCCTTCGTCTGTTTGACGCTCCAGAAAAGTGCTACCTAAAATGGACACTAGTCCTGATTGCTGAGTTGTCACAGTTGTGGGCCTACGCCCCTTTAATCAGTTAACTCTCTGCAGCTGATGGGCACCAGCTGAAACTGTCTCACTTCACACAATCAACTGAGCCTTCAGGCCTATTGTAATGCACCTTTTACAGACCGATGTCAGACTAAACCATTGTTACAGAGGTTTTAAGATAACCCTACTACAATTACCCCTAGTAAAGCACTTAGTATTTGTACAGTTGTTTATTCAAAGTGAACCCGAAGAAGCAAATGTTTAAGTTTTTAAGATTTCTGAAAAAATGAGTTTTCTGCCTGAAAAACAGGTATTTTAGCTGTTACAGTTATACAAAGTAGAATCAATGAAACAGAGAGGTCTAGAAACCAAAATAGAATTTACTGAGGTTTCTGAATCAGCAGAGAGTCCTATCTGGTCGAGATAGCTAACAGTCTGATGCAGACTCAGTGAGTCTAAATAGTTTAAGAAGAGATGATAATCCCCTAAGCGTTCCCTTATTCAAATGTAGACAATTTAAATCCTTCACTCTGCCTCCATAACGTATTTAAGTCATTTCACATATCTGCAAAAAGAAATCTGTAGACGAATTTATTACATATCAAAGAGCAATACATATGGACAAGAATTTGTCATCCTGTATGTTTCAGAGACACGGTCTTGAGCTGGGACTGCATCAGTAGGCCTAAGACAGCATGCTATATTAATTATATACTGTAATTGAATTGTTATCCAGCAATTAAACAAAAATGTACAGTCGCAAAAACAGCTTTAGTATACTTCAGATTAACTGCTCGTCGGATTATAATTTCCTGTCCTTTCCCCACACATGTTGGACCATTTTAGTGCATTGTAGAGGAGTAAAAGTAGGGTTTGAACTTTCTTAAATGCCTCAACAAAAACTATTTATGTCACTTTGTGTGTGAACTCTGCAATACTAAGACACACATTTAGACCAATGTTGGGCCCAGCCTATCTCTATAAGGCTTCAGCTTTCCTTCTGCTTTTCCCTTTTGACATACCCTACGATACAAAAGAATACTCCCCATGACCTCAGATCATCGAGTAATTTCTCAAAACAAACTAGTCCTACATAAAAACAGGAAAGGCATTTAATCTTCTGCCCGACATAAGATCTCATGCTCATGAAAAAGACAGCAACTCTAAGAAATGGACTGTCAGGTTGTGCACTTCTCTGGTTAAGTGAGGAAAACAGTTTTTAAATGCAAATTAATCTGGAAGACTGATTGCCTAAAAAAGATATACCTAGAATGACTTAATTAATTAATTAATAGCTGATGTTCACCATGAATCGCATGGCAGTGTAAAAGATAGGGTGGAGAAACTGGCAGAGTCACATGTGTTACACTGCCCTCGGACATCAGTAAGAACCTTCACTACCTCACTGTAACGGCACGACTGATCCATGACTCATGATCTGCACTCGCTCTTTAGCTGGGGTGAAAACAACGGAATTTTACTGAACCTTGCTCCAGCTTCCTGAAGTTGCAGAGGGAGACAGCATACAGTGTCTCCACTGTAGGAAGCATTGAGCTGCTGCGTGAATACTACAAACATAAGTCCTGTGTAGAGCCCATTATACAGGGGGGAATCACAGCAGCAGCTTTGGCCATGCTTTAGCTAACTGTTGGAAAATGGTCTGACTTCAAGCCAATAATTCATAAATCATCCTAACGCTCTGATTTCTCTTAGCAGTTTGAAATGCATTTCTTTATTACGACACACATGTATTTATTAATTTTCTCGCATTATACAAGTAAATACTAGTATTTCAAACGTTTGATATATTATGATTAATCATGGGTAATTATTTTGAGTAATAGCATGCATAGTAGATGCTGAAGTCAAATAAACTAATTATGTCTTCCACAGGGGGCCCTTCTGACTGGGGCCATGTTGGAGGTCCTCACCTGTGGGGAGGGCGGGGCTAGTGAGCTCAGTACCATCCTGATGGTGCCAGAGAAGCAGCGACCGTTCCTGCAGGCCTACCTCGGAGCAGTGTGCGGCGGGGGGGAGGGTCAAAGAGCAGAGCGCTTCAGACTGCTGAGCCTGGAGCTGAGAGAGCAAATCAACACCCAGCGGGTCAGAGAGAAGGTACAGAGGGACTGCTGAACATCTGCCAACTAATCTCTCATTGTCAATGTACGGTCACTAATAGTGCTTTGTCATTGAAAGGCTTTGACTGCAGAGAAATAAAATGTTTCTCTTTAACAACAACAAACAAATTATTTTAGTGGTGGACATTGATGGCAGCCTGTCGAGCAGCACTCAGCCTCAATACTCTTCCAAAAAACACAAAAACATGGAAAAATAGAGACCAGGTTGTCAATGGTTTTGCTGTGCCTCTGTCTTGATTTATAAGATAAACTCTCTGACAGCATTTTGTGTGCAACTTGAAGAGGCTTGAAATGGAAAGATGTCAAGAACTTTTGTTTTTTAACAACATGTACAATATTATTGTTATCTTTAAAGTAGACAGTTAGCCTCACTAACAGCAGCCAGTTTGTACCATGTTATATTTGCTACCCAGCTCCATCCCTCCATCATTTCTTCCTGTCTTCCCCTCTCGCCCCCCAGCTCCAGCTGGAGCGGCCCCGCTCTGTGGCCCCCCTCTCTCAGGCCGACCTCAGGGCCTTGCTGAAGGACCTGGCTGATATGGAGAGGCTTCTGAAGGACGTGGACCTGCTCTCTGGCCTGGCCCGCCTGCTGCCCAAAGGAGCCTGCGCTGGTCGAACTCCAGCCTCCCCCACAAACATGACTTGGCCCCTTAACGCTACCACATGGGGCCCAAACACAACTGACATCCCTGGAGAAGAGGGGGGTGGAGGCGCAGAGGAAGGTGGAGGAACAGGAGGAAGGAAAGGAAAGGAGGAAGCAGAGAACCCTCACTCTCAGTTTTCAGCCTTTGTGCAGCTGTGGGCCGGACTGCAGCCCATCCTGTGTGGGCACAACAGGTGAGAGCAGAGGACCAATCGCACAGCAGGGTCAGTTTGAACACAGCAAATCCTTCTGCGAGTATTGTCTTTATCATTAAAAATATGATTCTTTTTGATTAAAACATGGTTTATTATATTGTACACAACATTTGTTTAAAGCCATGTCACCCATTGAGCATATTTGGGATGCTCTGGATCGGCGTATACGACAGCGTGTTCCAGTTCCTGCCAATATCCAGCAACTTCGCACAGCCATTGAAGAGGAATGGACCAACATTCCACAGGCCACAATCAACAACCTGATCAACTCTATGCGAAGGAGATGGGTGACATGTTAGGGTTAGGGTTTAACCCTAGGGTTTTCGGACCCCCCCAGACCCCCCCAATAAAGCAAAACTGCACGTTTCAGAGTGGCCTTTTATTGTGGCCAGCCTAAGGCACACCTGTGCAATAATCATGCTGTCTAATCAGCATCTTGATATGCCACACCTGTGAGGTGGGATGGATTATCTCGGCAAAGGAGAAGTGCTCATATCACAGATTTTTTCAGATTTGTGAACAATATTTGAGAGAAATGGTTATTTTGTGTATGTAGAAAATGTTTTAGATCTTTGAGTTCATCTCATGAAAAATGGGAGCAAAAACGAAAGTGTTGCATTTATATTTTTATTCAGTGTATATAAAACTAGAAAATGCATTTCCTGCACAAAATGCGTCCGAATGCTGTAAACTGTGAACATTTATAGCTGAATTTAGCTGAAAATGCAGAAAAAGCTGAATATGTTATTAGCTGAATGGTAGCTGCTTTTAGCTAAA